AATTAAAAAAAATCATCGAAAATTAATATAAATCAATTTATGTTTTGATACTAATTCTGAAGTTCCAAATTAATGAAAATTTTGCTGCTAATTAATAAATAGATCAATAACTCCCAGAGAGCCTACAACATCATAAAATCGGTCGAAAAGCTGTATCAAGTAATAAGTTACAAATAAATGTGTACATGCTGCCTATACGGGAGATTCAAAAACATCTGACTCATTTTATGCTTTCATATAAATATACATATACAAACACTCACGCCTGTCACCCAGAGGGGTAGCATAAAGAGCCAGCAACAAAATAAAATAGATCGATAAGCTGCACCAAGTAATAAGTTAATAATTATTTGTGATTTACAAGTTTTATTTTTATGAAAATTTTAGGGAAAAATATAGCAGATATTTTGTTGCTAGCCAGTAATTGAAGCAGCAAGTCATAGAGACCCAGCAACAAAATAAAATAGATGGATAAGCTGCACTAAGTAATAAGTTAAAAATAATTTTTGTACATGCTATATTTACATTAAAATTTTTGAAAAAAAGGTAGCAGATATTTTGTTGCTGGTCAGTAACGGAAGCAGCAACTCATAAGGAGCCAGCAACAAAATAAAATATATCGATAAGTTGCACCACGTTATATGTTAGTAATTATTTGTGTACATGCTATATTTTTATAAAATTTTAGGAGAAAAGGTAGCAGATATTTTATTGCTGGTCAGTTATAGTAGCAGCAAGTCATAAAGAGCCAGCAACAAAATAAAATTGATCGATAAGCTGTACCAAGTAATAAGTTAATAATTATTTGTGTACATGCTATATTTACATGAAAATTATAGGAAAAAAGATAGTAGATATTTTGTTGCTAGTCAGATACGGAAGCAGCAACTCATGAAGAACCAGCAAAAAAATAAAATATATCGATAAGTTATACCACGTTATTAGTTAGAAATTATTTGTGTACACGCTATATTTTAATGCAAATTTTAGGAAAAAAGTTAGCAGATATTTTGTTGCTGGTCAGTTACGGAAGCAGCAACTCATATAGAGCCAGCAACAAAATAAAACAGATCGATAAGCTGCACTAAGTAATTAGTTACTAATTATTTGTGTACATGCTGTATTTCTATGAAAATTTTAGAAAAATAAGGTAGCAGATATTTTGTTGCTGGTTAGTTACAGAAGCAGCAACTCGTATAGAGTCAGCAACAAAATAAAATTGATCGATAGGCTGCACTAACTAATAAGTTAATAATTATTTGTGTACATGCTATATTTACATGAAAATTATAGGAAAAAAGATAGTAGATATTTTGTTGCTAGTCAGATACGGAAGCAGCAACTCATGAAGAACCAGCAAAAAAATAAAATATATCGATAAGTTATACCACGTTATTAGTTAGAAATTATTTGTGTACACGCTATATTTTAATGCAAATTTTAGGAAAAAAGTTAGCAGATATTTTGTTGCTGGTCAGTTACGGAAGCAGCAACTCGCATCTGCCACGGAGATCATCCATCCGTGTACCAAAATCCGTGCAACTGGAGAGCTTAAAGTCAACAGGACTTTAAGAGGGTAATGAAGAAGAGGAATTTAATTAGTGTATTAAAACTATTCGGCTATTAAAAAATACCGAACATCAAATCTTGTTGTGATAGGGATGATGTGATAGGGATAGCTAGTACGTTTGTGTCTCATATGCGGAGTTCTCGGCTCTATGGGACGTAGTGGAGCGATTGGTTTGTGTATTTTCGGTAACCCATACAACCTCGATGCTTTGGTACACGGTGGTATTAATATTCGATAACAAACGATTCACCAACTTATATGGTGGCTCAACACTTGGGAAAAAATACTGTCTGCGCTGAGAAGATACACCAGAGCACACACAAAGGATTCGTACGATTTTTTAGTGAGATAAAAGACCTACATCTCGCTGTCAATGAAACTATGGTCAGTTTTGATGTTCAGTTACTGTTCACATGTTTAGCTATTGAAGACTGACCGACAGACTGAGACTTACCGATTACTTAAATACTGCCTCTCATCCGGCTATCTCGGATTGTGGAAGGAAGAGTTATACAAGCAAGTAGACGGTGTGGTGACGGGCTCACCTGTGTCTCTCGTAGTTGCCAACATATTCATGGAGGTCTTTGAGGAGAAAGCCCTTCTTAGTGTGTAAATTCAAGATCCAAGATTCTACAAGCGGTACTTAGACGACACTTTCATAATTTTACTATTTGACAAAGTAACTGTATTTTTAGACCATCTTAATTCCATAAACTCTAAAATACAATTCACAATGGAGTTAGAGGCAAACAATACTTTAGCTTTCCTAGATGTTTTAGTCATCCGAAATTCTGATAACACTATTGGTCACACTGTGAATAGAAAAAGGACCTATACCATACCAACCGATATTTAAATGGTGAATCTCACCATCATCCATCACAGTTAGCTGCCGTGGGAAAATCTTTATTTCAGAGAGCACGAGGTATCTGTGACAGAAAACATCTGGCCGACGATCTTTATCACGTCGAGCAAGTATTGCAAGACAACAAGCTTCGGCTCCCGCGCCTATGTCACAGTGACTGACTGAAGCCAGCATGTGTCTGCTGTACTACCCTACGAGTATATCAGAGGAGTTACAGACAAGGTTAACTATGTCTAGAAGGGAGCGTCCATTAAAATATACTTCAAGCCGCCGAAAAGGATTAGTCAATTTTTACCATCCGTTAAGTGTCATATCCCTCTACAAGATGCAGGAGTTTACAAGCTGGATTGTGAATGTGATCTCTCTGACATAGGCATATCTATGAAAACCCGCGTAAAAGAACATATAGCTAACCGGAAGCACCGACGTTCCGAGAAGTTTGCAGTTTGTGAACACGTTCAAGATCGTCCCCAAAATTACATTAGATTTGATAGACCACAAATCCTCGCAAAAGAACACCGATTCCTACCAAGGATGATTCACGAGGCTATAGAAATTAAAAAAACATCCTAATTTCAATAGATAAGATGGATGGATGCTGCCACCTGCTTGGTATCTTATACTTAATAAAATTAAATCCAAACTAAGCTTACCACTGCAATATTTCAAGATACTGTACGCTCATTCTGCGTAGATCGGACCAAAAATGAATATTCAAAAACTGAAGATAGCTGGGCTAACTATGTCATCGGTATGTCAAACACCTCACACCCCACCGTGACCATGGGTGCTGTAAAGCACCCGAAACGTCGGGAATTAAAAAGTAAAATTAAACGCGATAGAATCAGTATAAAATAGTTTCATTTAATGTGTAGTCTTCGCGTACTACGCGCATAATAAGAAATCATTAAATAAATAAAAATCTTAAAGATTTTGTCCTTTTTAAATTTTAAATTCAGAATGAATGGTAATGCATTATTTTCACTGATTGTTATTCATAAATATCTAACGCCTACTATTTCACTACGCACGCACATATTCTTAGGGATCGCTCGGTTACAAATTTATGCGTATACGCGTACGCGTAGTTGTTGCTCATAAATCACATTCAAATTGGGTTAATTTTAAATGAAAGCCTTATTTACTCGTATTTTCAAAAACTGCAATAACGATATATCATTATTTATGCTTAAAACTTAAATATAAAAGGATACTGTTTGAAAAATAACCCTGTTACTAATACGTGAATGGAAAACTGGGGAGTGCGAGATTTGGCATTGTTAAAGTTTATATGGAGAAAGAATGTAGAAAGCTAAAATTTATAAAAACTAAATGTTACATTACATATACATGAAATAAAATAAAATAAAACATTTACTGTTTACGTTAAAACTTTCACAGAATTAGTCTGTGGTTAAACGAAGATCGCTCAAAGTAGATCTCAGAGTAATTACATCATAGACATAGACATGCATTTATTCAGCAACTTACACTCATACAGTTTTGATATAGAAAATAAAATAATAAATAAAAACATCAAAAGATAAAAGTAAATAACAAAAAACAGTCATAAAATGATCCGATTGCATGAGTGATGTGATGCTGAAAAGGGCACTGACTCAACATAATGCTATCGCAGGATTGCGGTGGCGTTGGTTTTCATCACATCACTGACCTCTATATGCATGCATATGTTTGCATTAAGGGAAGCTAAAATTCTACATAAATCAGCGAGTCGATATACTTGTTATGCTTTTTCTAAAAATTTTTCAAACTAGCTGTCCTCCGCGACTTCGCCTGCGTGAAATATACTACGATTTTACGATTCCATGGGTTTTAATTTTTTTGCTTGGAACCCTAATTCTTTTTCTAAAATAAAAGTATCCTTCATTACTTTTTATAACATCAGCTATCTGCCAGTGAAAGTCCCATCAAAATCGATCCAGCCATTTCGGAGATTAGCTGGAACAAACAGATAGACAAAAATTTTAACAATTTGATTTTTTTTTGTTATTTGTACCGTATATACTTTCATATACATTTAGTAAAAGCTGTTATTATAACATTACAAACAGACTCTTCAAATTTTATTTATTTGTATAGATGAGGCAAAAAGAGAAACCTATTGAAATATAGTTATCTTATATATAAAATGAATACACAAAGTTATACAACTTAATCTTTATTAGAAAAAAGCATTTTATACACGCGCTTCTACAAATATTTTTTTAGTGTTTTTAAATGTGCCTTGTAATAAATAGTTAAAATGAGTATCACTTTCATTAGTCTTCGTAGCACAGGATGTATGATGTCTTCACAACTTCGTAAGAATGTTTAGATCACATCTTCTGGCGTTTCTTAAAGTATGTAAATAAGAGACATTTATTTGTTTGATTGAACATGTAACTCTATGCAAAAACCTTGTCGATTAATCCAAGTTATCAATCAAAGTCAACGAAAATTGAAAAGCAATCATCCTAATCCTGCTGCAAGCGAAGCTGCTTAGTCCTTTATGCAGTCCTGGTCCGTGCTACTACGTCATCCGAAAACGTGTCCGCGCTGGGGTCAGTAAGGTCCGTCGGCTGGCTCTATAGATATGCGAGGTTTAAACCCGCGCTCGTCCGCTTCGTACTCTACCACCTGAAAGGTTTTCCAAATTGTATTAAGATTTTAGTAAACTGTAAGTAAGTTTTTTTTTTATTTCTTTAGAGTAATGGTGACAAACGAGCACTCAGTCAACTTGATGATAATTGGATGCTGTGGCCAATAGACATCTACGTTTATCTCCGATTAAGAATTAAAATGCTGATACGTTGTCAAGGAATAAGATGAAATGTCTTATTTCCATTAAAAAAGGTCTCCTATTTTAAGCTGGTATTCTGTGAGAGTGTGGTCCTTCCCCAGTCGGGCCGACCCATTCGTGCTACAACCATAATATAGCTGCAGCGTGGCTCTACCACGTATAAAAGATTAGTTTATTTCAGTTATTTCCATAGCATAATGTCTTATTGGATTTTAGTATGGAGAAATGCGGTTGATTAAGAAACTAATTTTGTCCCCAGTCGAGCCAACCTATGCTATAACCACAATACCATCAACAGCGTGGTTCTACCACATAAAGGTAATCTCCATCTCCAGGCGTCTATCTAATATATAAAATTCTCGTGTCGCGGTGTTTGTTACCAAACTCCTCCGAAACGGCTGAACAGATTTGTATGAAATTTTGTGTGCATAGGTAGGTCTGAGAATCGGCCAACATCTATTTTTAAAACCGCTAAATGATAAGGGTGACCCACTCCTAAATATTATTTTATTTTTTTTGACAGAAATTTTTATTTTTATTTTATTATGACTTAGCATTGAAAAATACATAAAACTTAAAATTTTCACCCTTCTACGATCAATCCCTGTTTTTTAATCACGATTTTTAAAACTAAAAAATATTTCCTAGAAATAATGTATATGGCAAAACAAGGTTTGCCGGGTCAGCTAGTCTTATTGTAAAATAGCCAACTGCCTGGCAAGACTTATGGGAGATTTTATTAAAGGCTAGAGACACGCCCTGGTATCGCCTGTGTAAGATCTATTAATGTAGCGTTATTTATATTTAAGATAATCATCAATGACTGTTTATTTTATAAATATTTCGATTTTTCAAGAAAAAATCTCTATGTTTTTCGGATAGAATATAATTTTATACGTGGTAGAGCCATGCTGCAGCTATACTATGGTTGTAGCACGAATGGGTCGTCTCGACCGGGGAAGGACCACGCTCTCACAGAATACCAGCGTAAAATAGCAGTTTAACACTGCTGTGTTTCGTATGATGAGTGTAGAGAACCGGAGACCCTTTATACTGGAAACGAGGCTTTCCATGTTAGTCCTCACGAGTGACAACGCATCTGCATTTTGATTCGCAAACGAGGTTAAATGTAGATGTCTATGGGCCACAGTAACCACTTACCTTTAGGTGGACTGTGTGCTCGTTTGTCACCCGATCCTATAAATAAAATGTGACAGATGTTATCGTGACAGACAAGTACGCAATCCACCTGCAGGTAGGATCCTGCTTTGGTATATAAATATCAATATCTGACTTCGATCTAAAATGAAATATATGAGAACCCTGAAGCCTAAGATGGATTGCCCCGTTACCAATAAACGACTATTGATTTCTACGCATACAATACGAAACGCCGCAGCATTATGCTGCTATTTTCAGCTGGTATTCTGTAATAGAGGCCCTTCCCTCGTCAAGTCGACCCATTGGTGCTGCCGCCGTAATACCCTGCAGCGTCTATACCAGCCTTTTGCCAATCTACATCTGGATAACACTTTTTTTAGAAAGCGAAAACTGACAGGAACAGCTTGAAAATTCGGAAATATTCTTCACGCTGGGCAAGCCAATTAGTAAGGTCAGAGCTGAGAACTCCGCAAACGAGACACAAGCATACTATAAGCTTTCCCTATCATATCGATTCATCATATCGAACTCTACAAGTGGCTTTACCATGTAAAATTTTCACGTTATAGATTTTGTTCACCTTCTAAATAACTTTTCTAGATACAGCTGATTTACTTCACGCCCATCTCTATATCTGATACAGTTCGTAAAGTTTTATGATAGATATATTTTTTGACTCACTTGCTTGGTGCCATCAGGCAGCACCACGAAATACGAGCCCTCGGCACGGTCCTCCTGCCGACTCTCCGCGTGTCCGAAGTCGCTCCCGCTCGCGTAGTCGCTCACTTTGTAACCAAAGTCGTAGTTCGCTGGCTCCTGAAATTAATTCTATTATTTTTCTCGAAACTTTCTTTTATAGAATAAAGGTTACAAATGACACACAGTGCTGATCTGGGTACGTAGAAAAGGGTGGCTATTATTCGTACCTATATCTGCCGCTAAATTAGCAGAAACAATGCAAGTGCATTGCCGTATTCTGGTCTAAATGGTATAGAGCTATAGAAAGCCGGTGTAGTTACAGGCAGCCCTACATACGTATAAATCGTAGCACGTAAGTCTAGCGGTGACCGTTATTGCGCATAAGTCGAAAATAAGGTATCATGAGGTAGTAAGCGCGTCGCGATTGGCTCTCCAGTCGCATTTCGTGAGCTGATTGGCTCGCTAGTCGCATTCCGTGCGCTGTTTGGCTAGCCAGTCGTGTTTCGCGGGCTGATTGGCTCTCCAGTCGCATTCCGCGTGCTGATTGACTCGCCAGTCGCATTCTGCGCGCTGATTGGCTCTCCAGTTGCATTTCGTCCCCCGTACTGATACGTGAGACATGCGCGACAGTACCCATGCGCAGCTATCTCCTCCACGTTTCGTTCAGCGCTAGACTTACGTGCCGCGACTTGTATAACTGTCAGTTCTCTGTAATGCTTAAAAATAATTGCCAACTATACGGAACCGTTTCCCCCACTCACAAAGAATGTAATTTAGAATTTTTGATTAGATTATTAAAAAATACATTAAAATACTTTAATTATAATTGTCTGGTGTACGGATGGATACTGCGACTCATAGATATCTACTTCTAACCTCGATTAAGAATTAAAAATGTGAGTTGTTAAAGTTACAGCCTAAATACGGCCTCGCCTCATTTCTGAGAGGGTTTTAGGGCAAGGAAGTGTTCGCCGCGCTGCCTCAATGCGTATTGGCGAACTTCACATGTCTTCGTATTTTATTTTCTTATATCTTAGATATGCAGGTCCTCATGATAAATCAGCACTTAAAACTGCAATTAAGAATTTTATTGGTGCCGGCTGGGATCGAACACGAGTTGCTCGCGTACTGTGAAATTTACAGCGAGCGCTAACCATCTGAGCTACCACGGCTTTTGAGAAATAAGATGAATTGAAAAGCCTTCAGAATGTGAAATTATTTTATTTTTTTAATTGTTTGAAGCCGGCATTTGGTTTATATTAAAAATTACATTTTTACCCTTTTGAATGTTTTTTTTTATAGGATAGGGTGACAAACGAGCACACAGTCCACCTGATGGTAAGTGGCTGCTGCGGCCCATAGACATCTACATCTATCCTCGTTTGCGAATCAAAATGCAGATGCGTTGCCACCCGTGAGGACTAAGATGGAATGCCTCATTTCCAGTAAAAAGAGCCTCCGGCCACCTGCACTCATCAAGCGAAACGCAGAGGTAAACCTCTACTTCACGCTGGTATTCTGTGAGGTCGTGGTACCACCCCGGTTCGAGGCGGCCCATCCGTGCGACAGCAAAAGCTGCCGCGTGGCTCTACCACTGTTAAACTAAGAAATATCACAATCTCAATGTCGCTTAAATAGTTCCATTAATAAACTTCGTCCCCTAATTTGCCACATTTAGGGGTGGAATTTCCGTCTCCAAATTTATATGGGACCACCCCTGCAGTATAATCTCATCAATAAAAAAAAATCACCAAATTCGTTTCACAATTGATGAAGATATCGCGTAACAAACGTACAATCATTTAAAATTAAAAATTTTGTACAGCTGACTTCAATATAAATTATTAAGAATGACTCAAAAACTATTGGTCAGACCTTGATCAAATTCATATGGGACCACACGAGAAGTACGAGCTTTCAAATAAAAAAAAGAATGATCGAAATCGGTTCACCCAATAAAAAGTTATGAGGTAGCACACATAAAAAAAACATACAGTCGATTTGAGTACCGTCTCCTTTTTGAAGTCGGCAGAAAAAACTAACAGTCTAATTATTAACATCCTCTTTCTTTTGAAGTCAGGTAAAAATATCCAGTAGAATGTATACTGGTAATGATTATGAAATAACCTGGTTTAGCAGCTCCTCGAGTGCGCTCCTGGATAATCCGTAGCCTTGTCCGGGGAGAGTGTGACGCGGCGTTCCATACTGCTGCGAAGGTACGGCGGCGTCTGCCGACTCTGCATCGTACTCTTGAGGTAGATACCTATGGATGTGGATGAAAAAGAAACTTAGCCATGTTAGTAGTTTTTAAGACATCACAGTGACCAGCGAGCTCGCTGCCTACTCAAGAGAGGCTACCGTAGCCCATGAACAATGCTGCCAACAACAAAACATAAGGACTGCGGAAAGAAGAATCTGGTGACATAAACCGTAATTACAAAAACAATGCATATACGTCAAGGGCGTTGCCAAGAGAGGGAGAGCGGCTGCTACCCTCCGCCATAGAGACTCAAAAAAATGTACGTAGTCATAAGTCAAATGCAAAGCAACCAGTCTTATGTATTGTACATTCAAGAACTCGTGGAGCTTTACACATTGCAAACTGTACCGTTCTTATTACAATAGCCGTAGAGATAAAACTCGCAGTAGAAGTGTAAAGCTTCATGTGCTTTCTTGTACCTACACATCTCCTGGTGACACCCTTGATTTACTTAATGTGACAGGCAGACGTTACTCTGCCCTTTCCGATGACCTTTTGTCCTATAAAAAACCTTAAATTCGCAATATAAATGTTATCTCTCAAGTTGGAGCAAGCAATACACAATTACAAAATTTAGTTATAATCAATTGAACGTTTCTTTTAATAGGATAGGGTTACAAACGAGCATACAGTCCACCTGATGTTAAGTGGTTGCTGTGACCCATAAACATCTACATCTATCCTCAATAAAGAATCGAAATAAAGATGCGTTGTCACCCGTGAGTACTAAGATGGAATGCCTCGTTTCCAGTAAAAAGGTTTCCGGTTCTCTACACTCACCATACGAAACACAGCAGCTTTAAGTTGATATTTTACGCTGGTATTGTGTGAGAGCGTGGTCCTTCCCCGGTTATACCGACCCATTCGTGCTACAACCATAATATAGCTGCAGTATGACTCTACCACTTATAGCTGGCCAGTTAAACGTTATTCTGCGCTTTCCGACGACCTTTGTCCTTTAAAAAAATCCTTAAATTCACAATTAAAAATATTGAGGGTCACTAATCAGGATAAAACTGTCCTAACTCTCTTTGAGCACACACTTACGTTACGTTACACACACATACAAATACGTAGTAGAGCCATGCTGCAGCTATATTTCTGGTATAGTTGTAACACGAATGGGTCGGTTCGACCGGGGAAGGACCACGCTCTCACAGAATACCAGCGTATAATAGCAGCTTAATGCTGCTGTGTTTCGTATGGTGAGTGTAGAGAACCGTAAACCCTTTTTACTGGAAACGAGGCATTCGATCTTAGTCCTCACGGGTGACAACGCATCTGCATTTTGATACGTAATCGTGGATAAATGTAGATCTCTATGGGCCACAGCAACCACTTACCATCAGGTGGACTGTGTGCTCGTTTGTCACCCTTATTCTATAAAAAAAATTATAAAATTTCATTAAAATCGGTTGAGCGGTTTTGGAGATTAGCGCTAACGAACATCGTGACATGAGATTTTTATATATTTTTGCTGCATAATGGCCGCGTAAGCGAACCCACTATGCCATATCATCCCGTGGGTGTTGTAAGAGGCGACAGTGGGAAACTGAAACTGGAGATGAGCAGCAGCTTTTTCCACATAAAAAACACCGATCGCGCGTAGCAACTGTGGCAAAATCCCCCCTATAAAGTGATCTATGCCGATGTTCAGAAGTGGGCTTTAATAGGCTGTAATGGTACGGTATAGTAAAAAACTATCAGTAATTAAGGCAATTAAAAAAGGAAGGAATTAATAGATACTTTTATATAGAGTATTATATCCGATATACCTACCCTAAAATACACTTATGCGAAGAGATCTGAATAAACCTCAGATAGAGTGCTCATAATGTATATACATACAGACTGTTAGAAAACTGTTAATTTATGAGTTTCTATACAATTGCAATATTTTTTTAAGTTTCTCAAACATTTCCTTCCTTCCTTCGCCACTGAGAACATGGTAAGTAAGCATTTAAAATTGCAATGAACAATTTAATTCGTGCCGGCAGCGGTCGAACTTAATTCGGTCGCATATTGAGATGTGATCAAAACGAGTGCTTATGATCGATACTACTACGCCTACATAAATCAAATCTGTATTAATTAAACGTACATACATACATACACATAAATACATCAACTCTAGCGCCTGTTACACACAGGGGTAGGCAGAGACTAAAGACTTCCATTCGGCATGATCCTGACACAAGTTAATCAAATTGAAAATAATTAAACCGACTTCAAAAAGAAAAAAGAAAACAATTTCCACATAATAGTATCTAAAGTCGGTGATACAAATCGTCGAAGAATTAGGAATTATTTTTTGATTTTAAAAGGTTAGAAATAGTTAAAGTTAAAGTTGAAATTACAGCCTATATGCGTCCCACTGCTGGGCTCAGGCCTCCTCTCATTTCTGAGAGGGTTTTAGGGCAAGGAAATGTCCGCCGCGCTGCCCCAATGCGTGTGTGCGAACTTCACTTTCACTCAGACGACGGTTTACTCATGATGTTGTCTTCTCCGCCGAGCACGTGGTAAATCAGCACTTAAAATTGCATTTAACTAATTAATTGGTGCCGGTGGAGATCGAACCCGGGTTGCTCACGTACTGTGAAACTTACAGCGAGCGCTAACCATCTGAGCTACCACGGCTAGACTAGAAACAGTTAATATCTAGTTAAATATAACTGTTCCACATACCTTTCTGATGAACGTAATGACGCTATACCATCTGGTTTTTGGTCTGCAATCCTCGTTCCTGGTGCTCCATACTGTCTTGATGGATCACTCGCCGGGGCTCCGTAAGTAGTTGATAACGTGCGACCAAATCCTTGAGAGTGCGAGTCCGTAGCCCTTACTTCAGGCGCACCATATAGAGTCGAGAGAGAGCGAGCTGGTGTCCCGTAAACTTGAGATGGGTTCTGTGTGTTTTTAAATTGGGGAAGACTTTGTGGTCCGAAAGAAGATTTGAAAGCATCCGTTGTGCTGAACTGGTTAGACCTGGTTGTCGGAGTGCCGTAGTTTTGTGAGATGGACGGCGACTGATTGCTACGGAATCTCGGCACACCGTACTTCTGAACGGATGACGTCTGCGTATTGTAACTTCTATATGACGGAGCGTTGTATTCCTCAGAAGGTGATCGAACATCCGGTACACCATATTGCGATGATGAAGATCTTTGGCTGGGAGTGGTGTATGTTTCTGCTGGGGTATTTCTTAAAGAAGGGGCACCATACAAAGAAGACACTTCGTTATGGGAGTCATATCCTTGTGAGAACTGTGATGAAAGCGCGTTATATCCTTGCGAAATAGAGTTTCTGATGTCAGGTGTTCCATATTCTAATGACAGTCTGGTAGGTGAGTTTGGTGATCCATATTCTTGTGAAGGACCATCTCCTAAGCTCCGGGGTCTATATTCTTGAGCAACTGGCGTTGCACTTCGAGTTGGATACTGATTAGAGCGGGCATAAGAGGAAGATGTGGAGCTTCTTGCAAACGGTGCTCCTTGATCCGGTGGTAGATATCGTTGATGTAAGCCGTGGTCGTGACTGGATTGCGCCGCTTCTAGGTAACTGTCTCTAAAAAGATATGACAAAGTATTTTTTTTTTATTAAAACAATACCACTGTAATATTTTGTACGTGGTAGAGCCATGCTGCAGCTATATTAGTAGTATAGTTGTAGCACGAATGGGTCGGCTCGATCGGGGAAGGACCACGCTCTCACAGAATACCAACGTAAAATAGCAGCTTGACACTGCTGTGTTTCGTACGGTGAGTGTAGAGAACCGGAGACCCTTTTTACTGGAAAAGAGGCATTGCATTTTAGTCCTCACGGGTGACAACGCATCTGCATTTTGATTCGCAAACGAGGATAAATTTAGATGTCTATGTGTCACAGCAACCACTTACCATCAGGTGGACTGTATGCTCGTTTGTCACCCTATCCTATCAAAAAAAATTGTAACACTAAATCTGAGCAAAAGTTCTTAGTTCCCACACTAAGGTTTTCGCCAGTAGTGGAGACATGTTTTTAGTATCCTCCAGACCGAATTTCGGACACGGCGGTCCCAACGGAAACTAACTATCTGCGCAGAACAGGGTTGTGCGCAGATGCTCAAATGTATGCGTATGCACAGGTGCTCGCTCTATTCCCTCACTCAGTACGGTTAGCATGGGCTGGGAACAAAAAATTTATCCCCCGATTATAAGACAGGAGATAAAATTATCTTGTCCTTATGCCAAAGCACGGCAACGGGGAGAAGTATATCCCCGTTTGACATAACGAGTAGACATATATCCCCCGTCCGTAGCATGGAGCCAAATGAAAGGTAAAAAATTATGCTTTTTTGACATTTGAAACGGACAATTTCATCCTAGTTCATTGGACGTAGGCTTAAGTTTATATTCATACAAAATCTATCTAAGTCTATGTCCCATTTTATCTACAGTGGATATAATATCCACCGGATTGCCCATGCTCGAAGGGTGGATAAAACTAAGTGAAGGGATAACCATTAATAATAAACATTTTCTCCTTTCCCCGGGGATAAAATTGTCTCCTGCCCATGTTTGCTCTGCTCGCGAGAGATCAGCGCAACATAAACAGCTTTACGTGATAACGGAAGCACGGGAGTGAAACACCGCCAACTTCCTGACTCCGGGTTGTTACTGAGAATTTCTTGATAGAAAAACCGGAGAACTGATTTTGGCCTGACCCGGGATTCGAACCCAGGACCTCACGATCAGCAACCGTGTTTACGACAACTGGACCAAGGACGCAACCTACGAGCACTATTCTTTCTTACATGAAAGATAACTCTGAGACAAAATAAATTGATTGACATTTAACGATGACCAAAGTTTAACTTTACCGGTACAGCCTATTAAAGTCCACTGCTGAACATAGGCCTCCCCTAGAGACTCACAGGGCATTCCATCTTAGTCCTCACGGGTGACAACGCATCTGCATTTTGATTCGTAATCGAGGCTAGATGTAGATATCTATGGGCGTCAGCAACCACTTAACATCAGGTGGACTGTGTGCTCGTTTTTCACCCTTATCCTATAAAAAATATTTGCTATAGTTGCCACGCTTGGAAATCACTTTGGCAACCGCAGATTTTTTTTATTCGTTGTGTACAAATAATATGAAATCATTTTAGTCGTTATTAGGATGACGCTGCTGTCCATGTCCTAATTTTTTTGACTAACGACATCCACGTGATGATATAAGGTAGTGGATATTCTTACACCGCCACTACACGGGTATGCATATACGGTATATAAGTATATTATGTATAGAAACTGAATAAGTGCAAAGTAAATATAATTGAATCGGATCACTTACCCGACCGGTGGCTCTGCAAGTGCCAAGGAAAACACACTTAGAAGTAGAATGAACATCTGTAAGTAATCAAATACATTGTGGTGAGTATTTTTTTTAATTGAATACAAGAACCCAGAACCCGCAAAGCAGTACCAGGGCTATTCGCAAACTAAGTTGAAATCAAAATTATAGTAATTTTGTAGTAACTTGCGTCGTATGTTTTATGGGTCGTGGTAGCATGTACAACAAAGTCACAATGTTTTTGTTTTCTGTTTTTTTTTTTTTTTTGTAGATTATGGGTGACAGGTTTGTGTAATGTATACTGTATACTAGTTAGTATACATTCCACCTGATGGTAAGTGCATATTGTAGCCCACAGATATCTACATTTATCCTCGAAAAAAAAATCAAAATGCAGATGCGTTGTCACCCTTGCGGACTAAACCATTTTAGATAAATAATGCCTTGTTACCAATAGAAAGGGTCTCAAGTTCTCTATACTCGCCATATAAAACACAGAAGCATTAAGCTGCTATTTTACGCTGGTATTGTGTGACAGCGTGGTCTTTCCCTGGTTGAGCCGACCCACTCGTGCTACAACCATATTATAGCTGCAGCGTGACTCTAAACACGTAACGACTAAAATCATAGATTACATTAACTGCCTAAATATTGTTAATAATTATATAGTAATTACATTTTATAATAATTATAACAAGAGAAAAGTATTTAGGCAATTATTATTAGTGCTTGTTATCGTGTTTAGTATTTCTGGTTATTTTGCACAAGTTATTGAAATTCGTCAAAAACACCGTATGCCAAAAGCTTCTCGAATATTAATTAAAAAAAATTGAACTCGCCACCTACCCTGAACCTGAAGCTGAACCGTTTCAATTGAGTTAAAGCTGCTGAATGCAACTACCCAAAAGTGTTGATCTATTTATACTCACGGCAAATCGACTGGAGGATAGCCTAATTGGGCTATGTTTACCTCGACAGGTTGCATACAGACTCTATTGCATTGCGATATGAGCTAGTTTGGGTCGAAAATAAGAACGGCGTGCATCAAAAATAGTCCCATTGTTGATTAGAGCCTTCGACGCATGCGTGTGACGACACCGGGTATCGAATGTGGATCATTGTCGTTAATGTTGACGGTTAGAATAGATCGTTTTGATCAGGTTCTGTGGTTTACAAAACGCCGCCTAAGTTAATCTATTGCGTGCCAGAAAACAAATCGAGCGCTTATCAAAGCTCTGCATAAAACTTGAAAGTTATTTAAGTTCGACCTTATAGTTCGGTTTCGAATTCAAATATAACATTAATTTGTAACAATCTATCCTTTTTTTTATAGGATCGGGTGACAAACGAGCACACAGTCCACCTGATGGTAAGTGGTTACTGTGACCCATAGACATCTACATCTATCCTCAATAAAGACTCAAGATGAAGATGCGTTGTCACCCGTGAGGACTAAGATGGAATGCCTCTTTGCCCGTAAAAAGGGTCTCCGGTTCTCTACACTCACCATATAAAACACGGCAGCGTTAAGCTGCTATTTTACGCTGGTTTTCTGTGAGAGCGTGGTCCTTCCCCGGTCGAGCCGACCCATTCGTGCTACAACCATAATATAGCTGCAGCATGGCTCTAGCACGTAAAAAAAATCTTATACTTTAATAGGTGAAAAGAAAACTGCACCTCTTTTTAAGCATATCGAGAGCACGGAGTATTGTGAGATTTGGCGTTAGTTTATAGAAAAGGAGTATCGATCACTAATAAAAAAAAGGAGTGCAGAAAGATGAAGTTGATGTTACAAATACATACGTATATATGTAATTACGCTATGAAATACATTGAATAAAATAAAATAAAACCATAGACTTAGATACGCCAGTATATTCTAAGTCTATGAATAAAACATACAATGCTTACATTCATACTGTCAATGTCAAACACATAAATTAATGTCGCTTAGACAAATTATGTCGTTTGTTTACGTTCTTCTTCTTCTTTTTCTTGATAATTGGCTTTACGGCTCTGGGATCTAGCCCTTCTGAGCCTGAAGTTACAATATTATATTATAATAATTATTTTTCCTAGTATACTGCTTCACAATATGTTGATGCGTCACATTGTGCAGTCCTTGGGAGATTTTGACGGTAACTTGAGCCAGCAGACAGCTGACGGTTGGCGATGGTATCTCAAGGCGCCTAAGCAGACAGGCACCTTATTTTGAGAATCACATCACTATCAGAGCACTTGTTTCACAGTTTCCAATAATAGTTCACATGCGCAGATACTTAATACACAAAATCGCACCACTTTTACATATCAAAGTCCACTTCAAACCATTATTTAAACAATAAAACAGAAGCAACAAACCGCCGCCGGTCAAGTTCCCGCCAAAACTCTTGTTTACGTTCATGCTGCCAATTTTACAGAGTAAGGCAATATAAAAAACACGCATTGATTATGAGCTGTGACGATTCTAGAGAGAACTATCCTGGCGATCCTGATCAGGATACTAGGATAAAATTATTAAATTATTGTATTGTCATCGGTCCATGATAGACAATCGGCCGACTACAAGTTGGTGAATATTGCATTAAAAGATTCCGTTGCGTATATAGATAGATAGATACACGCGAAGCTAATAAAAGTGTGTTAAGCAAATGGTATAATTAATTTTTTTTTACAACCGACTTCAATATAAATTATTACAGATAACTCAAAAACTACTTGTCGGAATTTTCTGACCAGTAGTTTTTGAGTTATCCTTAATAATGCGTATTTAATTGACCTCGAATATATTGATGATGTTCTCATTTTATTTATATTGAAATCGGTTGTACAACAATTTTAATTGTATCACTCTTGTCTACCGACTTCAAAAAGGAGACGGTACTCAATTCGACTGTATGTTTTTTTTTTGTGTTACCTCATAACTTTTTACCGGGTGAACCGATTTCGATGATTTTTTTTTGTTTGAAAGCTGGTGCTTCACATGTTGTCTCATATAAATTTGATCAAGGTCTGACCAATAGTCTTTGAGTTATTCTTAATAATTTATATTGAAGTCGGCTGTACAAAATTTTTAATTTAAATTATTCGATAAGCTTTCGTCTAGATGCTACTCGCCAATTGTGATTCATAACAGATGTCTCACGGTCAAATTATTAACCAAATTGAAATTTCTTACAATATATAATTCAAATAGCTTTAATGAGACGTCTCGATTTTCATCCAGTTCCAACATTGCTTGGTTTGGCTCAATCGACCGGTAAGAAGCATACTTACTAAGACCACCTGCCATGGCACAGCACTTCCATGTTAGACCTTACGGGTGATAACGCATCTGTATTTTAATTCTTGATTGAATGCAATCGCATTCACATTCTGTCCGAAGGCTTTTACTTACCACAGGTTGACGAAAAGCCAAGTACGTTCTTATTCCTATTATTATATTATCTTATCTTTATAGTTTTAGTGGCACACTTATCGAACTACCTGGAACGTTTTAGTTTCCACATCCAGTTCTGACCTTTTCTTAGCACTATGCTCATTATTAGTCAATCATCCCTCGTGCTTGTTACTTACACTTTCACTTTGAGCCTACCTTTTACGTCTAGTATACTCTCCATTTGTAGATTCCGTTTAACTTCGACTTTTTTTGGTCTTAAAAAGTTAAAACAGCCTTTATAAGTCACACAGCTGGATACAGGCCTTCTCTCATTTCTGAGAGGGTTAAAAGCAAGGAATTGTCAGCCGCGACAGCCCAATTGGAGAAATAATCCGTGTTGACGGAATTCACGTGTCTTCGAATATTTTTAGGGTTTCGTACCTCAAAAGGAAAAAACGGAACCCTTATAGAATCACTTTGTTGTCCATCTGTCTGTCTGTCAAGACCCTTTTTCTTAGGAACGCGTGGAGGTATCAAGCTGAAATTCATATCAAATACATATTCCATTCAGATACTTTTAGTGCAGCCTGCACTAAAAGTATCGGGAATGGAATATTTCCACTGTTCCTGTCATATTAAAATCTTTTTAATTGAAAACTCCTTGGTTTTAAAAATCGAATACCATTTATTTATTTAAAAAAAGATTCTCGGTCTTGTCACAAGGTTTTTTCAAACTTGTTTACAAAGAGAATATAATCACTACGTTTAAGAGGCGGGACTTCCATAGTAAAAATAATTGCATGAAATTACGCCAAGTTACTCTACCAACATCAAGATATGACATTTAGTTTTGAGAAACAGTGCTGACAACATTGACGAATTACAATAGTGCTGTAAATGTCTATCCTCGAATAATTTTATCGATATAACCTTTATCGATATATTGCTTATCGATATTTTTACATAAGAAAAGTTAGATCTCTATACTGAATTATTTATGAGAAATAAAATTTTTAACGTGTGGATTGAGTAAAAATGCCGATGACGATAAGAAATCAATGTATTTTACACACAACAATTTGTATCTATATCTCTACAATAAGGTACAAAAGTATGTATAAAGAAAATATAAAATGAAAAACGCACTTTTATACTAGTAATTAATTAAGTAAAAAATAAATGACGACTCCGTAGCGCAGTGGCTAAGCGTTTGGCTGCGGCATTGCAGGACCGAGGCTTCCTTCCCGCACTGAACAATTGTTGCTATGCTGTAAAATAAATAGTCTGCGTCTGGATGCTTGTTTTCAACGTTAGTTTTTTTAGGGTAAAAATATTGGGTTTTTAATACTGATTGGATTAAATTGCTTTTATGTGTAACAAATACTATGTACAAATCGCTAGGCTTCTTCACAGAGGCACCTATGTACATACTATTCGCAGAGATCGTTTACTAATTGTCGCTTTCAAAATAAGTGCTCATTATAGCTAATGTTTATTGATGAATAAAATAATGATTTAGTTATATAATCCAATTCTTGCCAAAATGTGAATTTAGAGGGATATTATCTTTTGCTACATGTAAATGAAACCTAATTAACATACACATAAATTGTGGAAGTTTAAAGTAAGTCCACTAAAGAAATAACAGTTCCTTTTAGTTGGGTTCATATGCAATGT